AGAGAGAGAGAGAGAGAGCATGATCGTCGTTTTCATGATTTAGTTTTTCCTTTTTTTTAACGAATGAGTCTGGCCGAGTCTACGGTCAGGTGCATCTGTAAGATGAGAGAGAGAGAGAGAGAGAGAGAGAGAGAGAGAGAGAGAGAGAGAGCACGACTTACGAGCACGTGCACGCCGTTGTTCTGGGAGCGTGGTGATCTCACGATCACGGGGCGAGGGGCGGACAAGTGTTGTTCGCAGCCAATCGAGTGAGTGTGTGCAGCAGGTTGTGCTTGATTGCGCGGTCTGGTCACACCTTGTCGTTGGAACTGGCCTCCGAAGGGGGAGTTCACCTGCAATCCAAGGAGCTAGACCTTGCGGCGGCTCAATAACTCATCTCACGTCCTAGTTGTTCGACGTTCTTTTGGTAGGCTGGTCGGCCTAACGTGCCCACGTGCCCGTCCGCCATCGCACCTCATGGCCACTCGTTACACCGGTGTGCCTGGTTGATCAGGCTAGTAGTCAGAATTGTTTGTCTCCAATACTAAGCCATGCACGTCAAAGTAGGGTGCTTACCTCAACAGTTGTTACAGTCCGAACGAAATGTTGTGTAGACAAGAGGTTGCTATTCATTTCAGATCCGGGCGTTGTTGGTCCATTGCAAGCAGCGCAAGGGTGGTCGTCGTGGGCTCCTACGGGTGTAATAGGTTGTGTTTGTATCACAATGGACTGTATTTTTTTCGTTGATGCGGCAATGATGTGTTTCGTTGCACTACTACCTTTTGGATTGCGAGATTGCTGCGGGTCGGGCTTTCATTGGTAGTGGGCTGCTATTGTGGTTTCAGCCTCATCGTTGCTACTGTGCACCTTGATGCTCAAAGGGTTGTTGTTGCTTCCTGGCACTTCCTGCCCATTGCCCGTTGCTGCTGCACGACAGATTCCTGCACTTTTTGCTTCTTGTGTTGCCGAAACCGCTGAGTTACTACGGCGCCATGTTGTTGTTGGGCTGTGTTATAGCTACACTTGTACATTTTGTTGTTGTAGTTGCCACCATTTTTCGTGTTAAACTTTTGCTACCGAACTGCATTCGCGCATAGGGACTGTAAGTTCATCTGCTGCTGAATTTTTCCATTGTACCATTGCTCTGCATTTTGACTACAACCACTGATCTGCATTGAGATGTTAATGTTTGTATTCGAATGGAGCACAGGGAGTGCTCTATTCGAATGTTTTGCGCAGTTGCAAATTCGTCGGGGTAATTGGCAAGGTATGAGTTGGGCGGTGGTCGGCACGTGGTTGGGGAGCTCCTAAAACGCCTGAGTCTTAAAAGGTGTTACTACGCCATCTAAAACAGAGGTCGGCCTGTGGTCTTGTGCGCGCTTTGAGGGCATACTAACATCAGGCTCGGAACGTGATTGAAAGTCAAATGCGTTCACTTTCAAGTCTAACTGTCGTCGCTGGTCAGATACATTCGGAAACGTTGTACTGGGAGGGAGGAAAGCGCGCAGAGTTCTAAGAGAGGGGAAAGTGTGAGGTGTACTTCACCGCCCTGCAACTTTACGATGTTTTTTTATCCACGTGGCGGTGTCTCTCCTAAGATGAATTTTTTATTTTTTATGGCTCAAAATTTTCAGGTTTTTTAATATTTGGTCTTATATAAATTCTACGAAGGCACTTTTCCTACGGGAAGCGCTGCTCAAATTTAATGAAATTTATAGTTACAATATTTAAGGACTTTTCTAGCCATCTACCCGTACCTAGGGGAGATGCTGCCAAAAATTTTGATATTTTCATATGAGTGTCAAGGATAAGATAGAAAGCTGTGTAGCATCATGTTCGGGTTCGATGTCCAAACCCGAACGTTCGGGACCGAACGCGAACGAGCGCCGAAACTCTCCGAACGCGAACATAAAAATATTCAAAAAAAAAAAAAAAAAAAAAAATCTCTAAAAAATCTGAAAAAATATATGTTATGTAAAATAATAATACAAACAACTTTTGCTCTGGAGAAATGCTCAAATCCGTAACCAAACTCAAGTTAAAAATCAAAAA